CAAGATATGATTCTTGGACAAAATAAAACTGACAGAGTAAGTGCTATCTAGCTATAAAAGGGTTTAGGAGCAAAGAGATTACACGTCAGTTTCAATTATGAAGAAACAGCAAACCAATCTAATCATGGACAATTTCAGCAAGGAAGAAAACATTATAAACTAAGTTGATGTCTGGTCCATCGTGTCCAACTAAAACCAGGTAAAAAGCTAATCAAAATTGAAAGCTACATATCAGTGAGCAAAACAAACTGAACCTGTTAAGAATCAATTTACAAACAGGAAAAGCAGAGGGAAACAGAATTTGATCATTGGATGGGTCACAAAAGTGTTCTATCTAATTCTTTATTAGTCCAACTACCAGTTTTTGTTTTTTGTACTTTTTTTGGGGGTCCAGCTATTAGATCGCTAAACAGAGTGAGTTCAAAGAAAAAGTTGATCATCTCTGCGAGATAAGTTCCTTGGATGCATAAAAACGTCCAGTTACATCATCAGAGCGAGTCATATTAACCACAATAAGATGAGTTAGGGCCCAAAACCAGTAAAACCTAGACCAAAAGACATGGCTTTATATAATTTCCATATGCAAAAATCTCAAGCTCACCTTAATAAAATTAATACATAATACTAGTAAACACTGGTATTAAACAGTAATTAAATAAACAACCAATCACATGCAAGATTTATTTATAATGTTACGTGTGCACCAATTACATATGCCACTGTGAAAGAACAAAAATAAATTAATTGAAATTAAAAGAAAATCTGAGAATAATCCAGACCAATTACAAACCGCTTGTTTAGGAACAACTTATTAATGATTAAGTAGAAGTTGTATCAAACGGTGAATTTTGAAAAATTAGTTAAAAAAAAAAAAAAGCAATGATGAAAGCAAAAGTGAATTCCTACCAGCCAATGCCAACCACCAAGGCCCACAGCCTTCTTGACTACGCCTTGCAAACCAACCAATACAGACTTTGTTCTATTGTTTCCTCTGACAATAACTTTTGTGTGTCTCGGAAGCACTGAAAGCTCTTCATCGCCGCTTTCCTCCCGGAACGGCGACAGAACCCGAGAAGAACACAGCTCATGCTCCAACATTCTCCTCACCCACTCAAACTCAAGTTCAATTATCAGAAATAAGCAAACTTAGCCCCCAATCCAAATGCCCAGATCCTCAAAAAAGCAGTTGACTTTGGTAATCAATAAGTCATCAGCTCCACTCGTATTCACATTTAATAGCGTTTTCTAATAGAAGATTCTAAGCTTTACCTTGAGGCCCTGTAAAAAAAAAAAAAGGCAACAAAGTTTTAAAAAAGAAGTACAAAAAGAATCCCAGATTAGTAATGAATTTCAAGCCAGAGAGGAAAAAGATTGGTCACTGACGAATATTTCGAGGAAGAGTGGAATGCGAATTTCACGTTGGAGAAACCAATCACTGATTCACAGGACTTGGATTGATCTCAGTAAAGAAACCAAGACGATGCTATCTCATCATTAAGCTTCTGCTATTTATGCCATGCTGATATCACCTGAAACAAGCACAATTGAATTAAAAGCCTGAATTATCAAGAGCTTGAAACAATCATAGGTCCCATATTTTTATCACCAACCCATGAAAAGAAGAAGCTTTTATAGAGCTGAATTGTACATATCAATAGCCAACTAAAGTTGCCACTAAAGAAAAATTATGTTTGGTTGTTGAGAGAATTTAACCATATAAAGAAAGAAAAGGAATCCCAACTGTAGAACAAAAGCAAAAAAAATGTTTATAGGGAAGAAAACCCATTTAACTATGTAAGGTAAGCATAAGAAATTTAGCTCTTTAACAGGAAATCAAGATTGGTTATACTTTAAAAATCCCATTAAACTAAGTAGAAATCAGAGAGATAGATAGAGAGAGAGAGAACAAGAAGAAGAAGAAGGAAAAAAAAAAGAAAAAGCTAAAATTCTCTTTGCTGCATTTTCCAGGAAACGAGTTAAGAAAAGTTGAAAAAGATCAAATTTAAGGTAGTGAGAGAGCAATCTTTGTCACCTTCAAGTTCGGCTCAAACTCAATGAAAAAGCTATAACCCAAACGAGAATTAAGAACCTTTCCGGTATACAATCGATTCAAGCATAAACATTAGGTTACAAAAGAATCTTACATTGAATAAAAGGAAGTAACAGAAAATCTGGTGTACCTGCAGAGCACGAGAAAAATGCAAAAACGATTCAAAGAAACAGAGCAAGAGGAAGGGGTTTCGCGGGTCGGGGATATTAGATTTCGGGTTAAGAAAAACGGGTTTGTAACGGATCTGAACTGAATTGTTTTTTTTTAATGGATAAGAAAAAAAAAAAACGGCTAGGAGTTGAGCAGAGAGAAACTGGAAATGCACAGCTTTTGAGAGAAAGAGAAGGGCTTAATTGAAATCCAAATGGGAAAATTTCAGTACAAAGAAAGAAGAATTGAAGAGCGAGATAGAGGGAGAGAGAAAGCACACTAAATGCTTACCAACTGCCATGGAAACGACCTGCCATGTGCCGTACGGTCACTCCTTTCTTTTTCTTTCGTAACCGGCGATACCCGGTTCGATTTTTACTACGTTTTACCTTCGCCATTTTGGGGTGGATGGCTCGGCTAACGGCTAATGAGCAGGCGGGCGGGAGCGGGTGTCGGGTTTTTCTTTTGTCGTTATTAAGGGGTGTGGGGCCCGGTGTTATCTGGGCTGGGCTGATAATGATCTTGTGGGACCCGGTTTTCATCGTTTGTTGAGAAAATTGTTTGGCATGGTTCAGCGCATTTACGGTATCACACGTTGTTCGTGACTCTGTTAAATATTTATGCGTTTGTTTCTCTTCTCTTTTTTTTCCCTTAAATTTGTCTCCTTATCCCTCAATCATTTATCATCCTATAAGATTTTATACGATACTTTAGTACAAAATTTAGAGTGCATGTAGAACTAATGTAAAAGCATTTTGAGCGTTTTATTATAAATACTGTATTGATACATGTTGAATTCAATTATTCATAAATTTGGATTTTGTTTGACACATAAATTATTTATATGTATAATTATGTTTAAGATTTTCCCTTTTCTTGTAAACTCTCATTTCTTGTTTTTGGTTTTAATTAAAACAATTAATCAAATATAAGAACCAAGTTAAGTTTAATAATATGTTGTGTAAATTTTGCCTCTGAGTTGACTTGACTCAATTTTTTTTTTTCAATCATCGTCTCACCTTATAATTAATGTTAGTGAAAATAGTGTGAAAAGATATACGTGCTATTTCATTGATAGAAATAGACACTTTGATAAGGGTGTTAAGACATTAATGATAGGACTTCTGTTTTTGTTTTATAAGCCAAGTTCGATTAAGATTTGTCATTTTAATTATTAAAATAATAAAATTTATATTATATTAATATATTTATAATTAATATTAAAATATATTATTTATTATAATATTTTAAATAAACTTTGGTTGAATTATACTCAAATTTTCATATTTACGTTCAATTCAAAAAGATCATATTAATAAATTTAAATAGATAACTCCGCCTTTAAACATGTTCACAAGAGAGCTTCAAAATGTTAGAACAACCATGGTAACCTTTTATCATCTAAATAAATACCCTAACAGTCCATAGGGACATTTTAAATTAAGTTAAGGTATTATATATTGCATAATGTGAATTTAAGTTGACTTAACTACATCACATTCGAACTGCTATAATCTATTAATAATTTTAAATTTGGAATTTGGAATTTGAAATTAATCATATTAAAAGAAATTATTAATTGAGATATGACAAGTGCTTTAACAAAAATCCAAACTTGGTGGTAAACATTTCAACTTTGTTTTAAGCTGTGATTTTGACAGAAAAGTATAGATTTTTATTTAACTGCAGTACTGTTTTTTTTTTTTTAACCCTTCCACTCTATCTTCCCAAACATCATGTTTCCAGGCGCTGTTTACAAGATGTCCGACAACGATTTTCAACGGCTAGGATTCACCCGATTATCTCCGACACATGTCGTCTCGCACTGGGCAACTTTGTCATTTACCACTTCCTAAAAGCCAAGCCCGCTGATGAGACCAACCAAAGCCAAGCCGATGACCGGTTGCTCCGTGAAAGGAGAAGCCAACAACGTACACGTGTCAGAGACCCAGCTGTCGGATCTTATCCTAGCAAGCAAAAAATCGTACCACTATTACACCTATATATATATATATAAAGTTATCAAGCTGTTTTATTATAAACTTAGGTAAAATTTAATAAAAAAAAGTCTTTTTTTTTCTTTTTGCTAAAAAAGAAACTGAATAAATTTGAAATTTGATTTGAAGTCCGCTCTTGCAGCTGGAGCGCACTCTACAGCCCGCTTCCAGGTTTTAGGATTCAAAGTGTGGGGCCCTTATCCGATTCCCACATGTTCCCTCTCTTTTGTTTTTTTGGTTTTTCGTACTCATTTTTGGTATTATAAGTTTAAAATATAATCTTTTATTATTTTTTTCATTCATTTGCCAATCGTTTAAAAGGGCTTTGCTTCAGAGACAAACTTTTGCATTTCCCCTTTCAAATTTCAAACTTACCCAGCCATGTTTTAATTAAAATTTAGTAGAGCAGCAAAGTTCCAAATAAAAATAAAATACCGAATCCTTAGGGTCTGACAAAGTCGTTTATTGCATTTTGGATGTTCCCCCAAAGCACAATCAGGGCAAAGCGTGGTGGTTTCCATGAACTTCACTAATTCTTTACCCTTTTGTCTCTTGTGACAAGTTTTTTTCCCTCCTAAATTGATTCCAACATGTACTAGGAGAAGGCAAAAAGCCCGCCAAAGCCAAATGACAGGGAGCTAAAAAAATGGAAAACGGATGCAACAGCCTTACACCCAAACCCCAAAATCCAACTGTCCCCACTTTCACATCCTTTCTTGCAATTGAGGAGAAACCACCCACTCGTTTTGAATCAAAACCCAGGAGTAGACTCTCAAACTGAAGATCTTGGTTGCTGGACATTCTTCACCAAATTCATCATAGCTAATTGCAGAAGCAAGGCAAGTTCAGATCATACAATGTTTAGCGTACATAACAATACAAACAGTCAAGCGAGAAGAGGTAATTATAATGATAATGATCCCACATTGATCAAGAAACCCATATTAATTCATCCAGTGAACCACTAACTAAATGAGGAGGCAAGATGAAAGAGATCACACTTGTGATGAGAATGATTTTCTCTCATCTACGATAACCACTGCCATCACCGGACAAGGAGCGCTCTCTGCGCCTCCTGTATGAGTCATAATCATCTCTTTTCCTACCATGGGGAGAACGAGAGCGTGATCTCCCTTGCCTGCCCCTTGAATGATAATCTCTATCATATCGTCGAGGTGAGTAGCTACGAGACCGTCTGCGACCTTGTCCTGTGTTGATTTGGCAAGATGATCAATATATAAGAACTTTAACAAGCAGAAAAGTTAACAAAAGTTCAAATGCCCTACCTCGTCTAGAATTAACAAAGTTCTATAAAGGCAAAAACAACAAGAACTTTAACAAGCTCAAACTTTCAAGGGAACATAACTTGAAAAACATCATAAAGAAACTTCCAGAAAAACGCGATGGCAAGAGTGGTTCTAGTATCTACCTCTTCTGTCTCTCAAACCATGATACCTCCCAGGAGTTGGTGTTCTTCCTCGGGACCTTTTTGCCTGCATTATTAGCGCAAAAGCAAGTTAATATCGCACATAAAGCAAGCCAGTGATTTACTCCAAATTGATATTGTCACCGCAAATGCAAAATCTGAGACTAACTTTTGTATTAAAAGAATATCCTGGAAGTTGCCCACATAGATGATATAGACATGCAAGGGGTCTACACAACCAACAAAAGTTTTTTTAAAGTACGATAAGATATTCATGTGAGCCTTGGGCTGTTATGGCAAGCATTTCAACTGTGGGCTGACTGATCTTTAAAACCAACCTTTATTGTAATGAATAAGATAAGATATTCACCTTTACAGAACAAGCACGATAAGACCAAAAAATTGATGTAACGTGTATGTCTTGAGGGTATTTCAAAAATGACACAGAAATAATAAACAGCCTCTCCAGATACTGTTACTGATGAAGAAAAGGAAAAAAGGGCATACAACCCTCAGCAAAATAGTCGAGTTTGAATCGATGAGTTTGGAATGTCGATGCGGAACTCATGTCTGAGGGGGTACAGGTTGAACTGTTAAGAGCTTAGATTGTGAATTCGATGAAGCTACACATACAAGACCTGCTGCCAAAGTTTATCAGGCAACACATCCGAAGAAAGCAGAATTTTAGATAAAATTCTACATAAATGATTTAGCCTCACTACAAACCAACTATTAGATCCTTAGTATAAACTAATACCTTTTCCACAGTGATCAATCGACCTTCAAGCACGGATCGATTCAAATACTTGATGCAGCGGTCTGCACCCTCAACAGTTTCCATGGTCACAAAGGCAAATCCACGAGATTCTCTGGTGCGAGGATCTGTAACCAGATGGCACTCCACAACCTGAAACAAGAACTCAGGTTATATAACTCCAGAGACAGATTATCACAACAGCCTATACCCACTCACAGGGGTCCTAAGGTGATTCTTGTTGCAACCTTTTACACATTTCTGTTACATGTAGATTTTATAAAGGCAAGGAAACCACTTACACCCTTAACTTAAACAAGGTAAAGCAACACAAAGAAAAACTAAAATATAGATTCAAATTTCATGCTTTAAAAACAGCCAAAGCAGCAGCTGTACCTATGGCCAGTAGCCATATGCAAGCTCAATAACATACAAGCACCTAATCAACTTCAGCCACCTTCACTGCAACTAGAGCATACAAATGTGACATCCTTTTCATGTTTATTTCTCTTTCAGTAAATCATATTGCAAGTTGAAGCACAACCCCAAAATTACCTCCACATAGAGAGGCATAGAAAAAAATAGGAGCACTTGAAAGAACAAATAATGCTGTCTTAATAAACAATGATTCCATACCTTTCCTTCACCGCCAAAATACTTCTCAAGATCGGCAGTAGTAACCCTAGTGGATAAGCCAGTCACATACAAGTTATTCCCTGGATTGGACGCATCCTGAGATTTGCTCCTGGGGCAATAAAAACTAAATTAACACAAAATTTAACTTCTAATAATAATAATAATCAGCTAAAACAAGACACCATTATGGTATAGGAACCACTATATTAAGATAAACATATAAAAGATAAATAACTAAGGTTGTTTACCTAGACCTGGAGCGACTCCTTCGGGACCTTGACAATGACCTTGATCGGCGTCCTCTTGCCGGTGAAACTGACCTGAAAGTATCAGTTTGAAAGAAAATTTAATTCACTTACATTGAAAGAATTGATCTTTTAGCTTAGGAACGGAGTTTATATGGAGGGAGAAAAAGCTCACCTTGTTTCCCTTGAATAAGACATCTGCCAACACAGAAAATTTTTTTTCAAATTTTGAACATTAAATTATGCACTTTTGTCTAACGCAAAACTTTTGCAAATTCCTATTCCTTTTTCTTTTCATTAATTTCTTCACTATCAGACATTTTCTCAGCAACCAAACATAACAATTTCAGCCTTTTAAGTTATAACTATAAAACAATTCGTGATTTCCATCATATATTAAATTAAATCCATAAGTTTTGCTGATTGAGTCTTTATATAGGAACAAAATGAAAAAAAAAATGAAAATTGTAACTCAGATCCACGGCCATAAAAGACACTAAATATCTTTGAAAATACGGTACATTTTTTTATGCTAATTGCAAACTCACCAAATTGGAGAGGTTCTAAACAGTCAAAACCACAAAAAAAATTTCAAAAACAAGGAATCGGTGTAAAAATTGAAGATTTACCTTCTGCTTAGAGAATTGACCGAGTCCACTCAAATGCCCTAACTCGGCAATAGCGGGTCTCTGCTAAGACAATCGAATCAATCAATGGCTAAAAAACACCTGAAAGCGCGAGCATTAACGATTAAACAGTGGCACGTGCAGTTCACGTGTTAAATGCCGGACGGGTTGGGCTTGTTTCTGGGCTTGAATTGGTCCCACGATTATCCAAAAATTGTTGAAAAAAATGAAAATATGTATTTATTTTTTTATGTATAGCAATCAAGGTTACTGGAAAATTTTTATTTCATAAAAAGCTTCATTTCCTTAATCACTCTTTGTTCATTAAATTAATTTATTCTTAGCCTGAAATTCAATATATCATTTATTTAATTATTAAAAAATTTTATTGATAAATATGTCAAGATATTTCGTAATAAAAACTTTAAACAATTGTTAATACAGTAATAGTCTGTTCCATTGAATTAATATACATCCATGGTTGAAAGCATCTTTGAATTTCCAATTGTCTGCAACTACTCACATAACTTAATCTTACAAGATTTAATTGTGTTTCCACATTCAGATTTTCAGCAATTTTTTTTTTGTTTGTTCTCCTTTTTGCATTTCACCGTGATGCATTCAGGCGAGCAAGTTCACATGCTGCATAATGTCCATCCGCTGCTACTTGACTTTGACTGTCTTGACCTCCAATGGTTTCTTCGGAACAAAGGAAGAGGAAGGCAGATATGTATATAGCCCCGTGCCATGGACTGACAAGAAGGCAGATTTCGAAGAAGGTTAGTTGGTGAAACTGAAAGCAATAAAAAGAAAAGTGAGAAGATTTGGCAACTGGCAAGGGGTTTCTAGTTTAAAAGGATGAGCTTTTTACCTGTGCCAGAACCAATAAGTTTCACTGGTTTGCAATTTCCAGCTTATTGCAGCGACAAGGACACCCAGAGATAGTATTGACAGAGCCATTTTGTAAGATTAACAACCTGTTCCTTCATGTTTTGCTGCCTGCAAAAAAGGGTTAGGCCTTGAGCTACAATGTTTGTACGCAAAGGGAAGTGTTTAAGATTATATCTGGCTTTTAATGCCATTTCAATTTCAAAAAGAAGAAGGAAACATGTTTTTTATGACAGGCAAAATTGTATTGAGCATTGTCTCATAAAGGAGACTTCGAACAGCAGAGCCACTTAAGGCTTAAAGCTACAAAAGGTCCTCTAGACGAGGCTTGGCAAAAGATCAGAAGTACATGATGTGCCAATAGAACAGAAATGATAAATCAACCAACACAAAAACCCCACGAATAATCCATCAAAAGGTTTGCTTAACATGACAGTCAATCCTATAATCATTTACAAGAGATCCTCAGGAGGTTCAAAATTTTCATCCCTTTGGTGAACAAAGTAGGCATTGAAATTAGCATCCCTTAAGACTCCAGCTTTGGCCAGACCGTCAGCTAGTGAGTTCATTTCCCTGCTGATGTGGCCGAAAGTAACCTTTTTGATGGTTTCAAAGAGAGCTTCAATAGCGTTGGAGGTGAGTTTCACACACCATGGAACCTTGCTGTGATCTTTTACCCAGAGGATGGCATTGGAAGAATCGCTTTCAACTTCCAAATTGTGAGTGGCAGCCCATGAGGAAGCAAGGAAAAATCTAATTCCTTGGAGGATAGCTTGAAGCTCTGCAAAGTTAGAATCTTCGATGGCAATTGAGTGGGAGAAGGCACCTCTAATGACACCTTTGTGGTCTCTTAAAGCTCCCCCAATGCCTGCAGGCCAGGGTTTCCCTCAAAAGGAAACATGTTATTGGGTCTTCGAATTACAGAACTCGCCTCTTGGATATGTTCTGGCAATCCTGTTGAGAACTTGAAAGTGACATATGCTTGGTATAAAATTCTTGCAGACATCCAACAAGAAGGGCTAGAAATGCTGCTGCCACTACCAGAACAATATTTGTGGCTCTGCAGAGTTGTAGCAGGATTAGAAATCATATAATGAGAGCTGAATGGACTTGCATTAAATTTCATACTTCCCAGTTATGATCTTTCCATACCTGGTTGGATCAGTTGCAGCTAGGAGGGCAGCAGCTATTGCTACAATTGTATGAACTGTTCTTTTTGCTGCTTCACTGATAATAACAAGATATACGAAAACACTCACCACAGCCATGAAAGAGAGCCAAAAGTCCATGAACTGAAACCAAGTAGCAACCTGTAAATCTCTCATCAACTTCGAATTATAATTGGATCATAATCGCAATGATGCATTCAAAGTACATTCCAGTATTAAGATGGAAAATACAAAATAAATTATGCTTAGAACCTAGCAATGAACATAAATAAAATTACAAAGCCCCTGAAATGTACATTTGGCTCATGCACTCATTTTTTTCAATATAAAGTAGCAGAGATTTTAAAGATGATTTATGTACCTGTAGCACACTAAAAGTAGAGCACACCACCAACCTACATCACATGCATGATAAAATGGCACTTGAAATTCCACTGGCCATAAAAACAACCGATTCTGCACATGCCTCTATGAAGGAACGAAGGGTAGTTCCAGATTTTTTTAAACAGGATTAGTATTTCTACAATTTGAATGGTGTATGAAGGAACAAAGGGTATGGTCCAGATTCTGTTAAACAGGATTAGTGCTTCTACAAATTGAGAGGCTGATTAAAGCTGTAGGTCGGTAAGTTTGGCAATGGTTTTTAAATTACAGTTTTCCTTTGAGTTAAAGGAAGCTGACCGTTTGCCAAAGGGCCCAAAATGCAGGAAGCAGGGCTGCAGCATTAGATAAAATAAGAGAAATCGAGTGCCATCTCTGCCCTATAAACCAGGCATATATATGTAAAAATCAAAATATGCTTTTACTAGGAACTCCTTACCATCTTTGACTGAGTTCTAATAGGTCCAAGGCATTATATGATCTCCAGCAGGATATGTAACACAAGTTTTAAGGATTCAAATGCAAGAAAGAAAAGTTTACACTATGATTATATCAGTTTTACTCAACCAGGCTTACATCTGTGTTTATCACAATGGATGTGGAGGAGTAAAAGGGCGGTAGCTTAATTGATACAAATGAAGAATAAATCAGTAATATGCTCCATGACTTGACAAATTGCATGGTAAGGAACAACAAACATATAGCATCCTAAACTAGTTGTGGTCATAAACATCCTAAATCTTGTATTCCTATTTGTTTGATCATCATGTTTTTCTGATATTTTGACAATATTTGATGTTAAACGAATCCAATACCGGCGGATGAGCAAGCTGAACCAGCCGATATGGAGACAGGTAACTCTGTTTACTTAATGTTAATTACAACCTTACTGCAGCCTGCAGTTATTACTTAAGTCATGGAAATATTTAACTATTAGCACATTTACTGCAACATCATTACTACAATCTTGAAATAAATAGCTACCCAAGCCCTTCCCCATAAGATGAGTAATTAGCCAATTTAAGTAAGCTTTCAGTAATGCGAGATTTTTTATAACCCATTATTCCCAATCTCCAGTAAAAATTAATGACTTGCAGTTCGATTCCTGAAATTAGCTCAAAATTAGAAAAACTAAGAACCCTTTTTCTTTGTGCCATTTTAGATGACTAATCAAAGGTTAAACATATATTTATCCAGTAAATAACAAAAAAAGGTTAAAAAAATAAAAAAAATAAAGTAAAAAAAATGAATGGAGGAAGCTGAAATAGTGTCCATCAAAACATATCAGAGAGAAGCACCTCTTATGTAACGCCAGTCATAAGGAGGGAGAGTTGTGGGAGACACATTGAAGCTTGCAAATGTGAAGACATTACTTACTACATAATAACTAAAAGAAGAAGAAGAAGCAAGAACCAGGAGCCAAGAAAAGAAGATGAAAACACATTTAAAATATAGGAAACCCATAACTGAACTTCTCTTTGCAAGTGGGTTTTTGACAGAGCCAAAGTTTATGTTTAATACTAATAATGTCCATAAAAAATATTCCATTTTAGGGTAACACAAACAAAATCAGCGCAATTATGGAGGGTAAAGATTCTGCAAACTTGCAAGGAAATTGGAAATGTAATCATCGCCATTACGACCATTGGCTGTATACTCACCAATTTTATTATTCTCACCACCAATATGACTGAATGCAATGAATTGGGTGTGTGAGAATCAAGTTCGTAAAATGACAATAATTATGTAATCTTGACATTATTCACAACCACATAGTATCACTGTATTTACAATTACTAAGTGTGAAAAGAAAAGGAAAACTAGGAAAAAATAATAATAAACAAGGACATAAACAAAAAAAAAAATGAAGAAGAGAGAAAAGGAAAAAAGAAAAAAAAGAGAAATGAACAAAAAAAACAAAAAACAAAAATTAAAAAAAAAAAGGAAAAAGGAGAGGTGAAGTGGATGGGCATGAAGATGAGAATTCAATCTTACTTTTATCTTCAAGCCATTGTGTTTTTATGCTCTTTGTTTCATTTTGATGCTACGCAGCTGTGTGTGCTTTGAATGGTTCACCAATGCAGGGCTATGCCCCTTCATGCAATGAGGTCTTTCTGCTGGTGTCTTGCGGTTTTGTTTTGGACGATGTACCATGTGTTTGTGGTGTTTTCGATTCTGGTTGCTGGATTTCGAAAAAGCTTCATGCGTCTGTTCTTTCTTCATGTTCGAGAACCTTTTATGTGGGAGCCATAGCACATCAAAGTTGCCCAGAGGCTTCCAGGATGTCTGAATAGTGCTGAAGGTGCTTATTCTCTTGTGAGTTGGTATGTGCAAAGGTTTGTGAATTGAATAACTGACGAAGGAATTTCAAGTCTGATTCATGACTTCTTTGGTTCGCTCGTTCTACTGCTTGGCTTTCCACTGGAAGGGAGATTTTTGCTTCTGTTTCATGCTCCTGAAATTGCTTAGGGAGCGTTTTGTTTTGCGGTTTCTCTTGTTGCCGGTTGAAGTGTTCCGTGGTGTTTCTTAGGGAGCCACGACATTTCAATGATCATCAGAGGCTCCAGGTAGGTTGATATGTGCCGAAGGTGCTTGTTCCATTATGAGTTGGTTTGCGTTATGGTTTGAGATCTGATCAACAAATGAAGGATGTTTTATGTTCCAGTTTCTGACTCTTTGGTTTGCTCGTTCTACTGCTAGACTTCTAATCGGATGGGAGAGTTTGCTTCAGCCTTTTGCTCCTGAACTTGTTTTTCTTAATACTTGTTTTCAGGAGATCCTCTTATGTTCTGTCCTAAAACAGGGTATTGTCGAGAGATCTGATTCTCATAGGCTTTTTCGTTATATTCCCTTGTAGGATTCTTGGTTTTTGGTTGACACTGTTAGGACCCTTTCCTGACTTTGCTTGCTGACTTTGTCTGGCACGCGGTGTAACTTTTGAAAATGTACAATTAAATACCCGCACCAGGTGCTCTATGCCATGAAAGTCTTCTGCGAATTGGGCTAAAGACTTGTCGCGGCATCACCGGTGACGGAGGAATAAAACTCGCTTTTCAAAAAAAAAGTGTGAAGTATACAAGCCAGCAGCAGACATGCAGGGGTTGTTTTCGTTTTCTTTCTCCCTGTCCTTTTGTCACCAAGAGAGAAGGGCAAAAGAGGGAGATTAACAAGAATATGAATCCATAACCTGGGTTGCTGAAATGGATTTTACATACACTGACAAACTTTATATTTCAAAATAACAAAGAGGAAAGAATCACGTCTTGAGGAGAGTCTCAATGGCTTCAAAAAAAGGTGGTGGCATCTCAGGATCTCGGGTCTTGATTGCGCAGTTGACACCAGGGTTTCCAATTACCATCGAAAGTTCAATCAAGAAGGGTGTACCTCGAGGGATCTTGGCAGAGAAGTAGATTACTTCCTGGTTGGCATGTTTGCGCTTCGCTGTAAAGAATGATTTGGATGTATGTTCAGTTGAAAATTCAAAGAAAAAGAAATGGATGCATCAGCTGCTTATACAAAGCCAGAAGTACACCAGCATGACAGAAACAGTTGCTGAGATGTTCACTTTTAAGCTTCCAGCTGCTTGTGACTTTAAAATGTTTTTCCTTTTATGTATCAAAATTCAGTTTGTCATAATCCAAGCAGGAAAGACCTTCGGGCTGAGGGTAAAAACAAGTACAAATTGCATACATGATCCGATTTTTTTTTTATTTTAGATTGTTAATGATCAGTAACTGAGTTGTTAAAGAAAACAGCAGTTAATGGACATCTTTCGATATTACCAATCGTGAAATCCAGGAATCTGTCAATTTCCATCCTTTGGTGCCTGGGTTGGTGACGTCTGATGGTATAGCAGCAATAATGCCTTTGCAAATAACATTGTTTCCTAACAGTTCTGCTTCGTGGTGTAAGTAGAGTCATGTTCTTTAACTCTTGGACTTGGGCTTACTATGCAAATCAGGTAATACAGAAAACTCTTGTTAGAAGTTTAGCATAGGCCAGCATACAAGTCGTAAAATTGAAACTTGTGAAAATTTTTCATTGTTAAGAGATTTGTTTTGAATAATTATCTTTTATTATTCAAGGAAATACGTTAATTAATCCAATATTGAATTCTTGATTCAAAAGCATGTATGAGTGACACTTTATCCTTTGAATTATGGAGTTGTGTTTTTGTTTGTTTGAGTGTCGAGATTTTTTATTTTGAGTTTTTTAAGTTGACTTTTTTTTAAAAAAAAATTGGATTAGGTTATAGTTAGGTCGATTTGTCTTTTTTTTATATATATATTCCTTTATTTAAATCTTTGTTAACCATTTATAATTTTATATTACATTTCACTTTCTTAATATATTTCTCTTTAAAAATATATTTAAAATTTAAATAACGTTTTTTGCTCATAAATTAAAAATATCAATTTTTTAAAGAAAATTATATTAACATTACCAACAATATCAGTTCAACTTTTTTCCTTTTTTTTTAGAATCATAAAGAGAATTATAATAATCTCACTTTTTTGTGTCTGCATATATAATTTTATTACAAAACTTTTATTAATATAATAATCTTATTACGAAAACTTAATTTTAAAAAAATTATTTTATTTGTTAAGGATATTTTTGACATTTTTAGAAAATATTTATATAAAAAATCTAAGTCTCATCCACGATAATAAAATTAAGTTTTAATAATATTTTTTTACGTGATATATTTTTTTATATTGTAAAATCTAAAAAATGTAGTTATTTAAATTTTTAATTTTAATTTTTTTTATATTTAATAGTAATATAAAAAAATACAGTCTTTATTAATAGATGTAATTTTTATAATTATATTTTTTCATAATGTATTTAAAAAGTTATATAACGAAATTATATTTAAAAAATATTTAAAAAATATTATTAAAAATATTTTTAATAAAACACTTTAAAAATGTGTGAAATTTGTTGCAGTGATAGTCAATCATGTTGGGCTGTTTCTGCCAAAGTTGTCGGAAGGGCTGTGTCCAGTGGAAAGTCGCAACAAAGATTGAAGGGGAAGAAACTTGTTTAAAATTATAATAAAGTATTTGAAGTCATTGGATTTTTGGGAGAAGACAAAAGGCTTCCAAATGATTTCTGAGTTCCAAACGGAACCATCTCTTTCAAATGCACTAGGTGGGGTGTGAGGTTCGACGTACGAGCTCTGAAACTATTTCTGTCAAGTCACGTTTCCTTGAACGAGAGCAATGACTTTTGTGAGTTAAACGTGTGTTCGTATTTCTGACATTGGCAATTGACAAGAAAGCATTCATTACTTAGAATTGAAATTTATGGTAGATTTTGGAGGGGAGAAAGGCTAGAAAATTAAGAAGAAGAAGAAGAAAAAAAAAAAAAAGGCAGAAAGGGCATTTTACAGCTAGAAAAGTTTAAATAGTTTTAAAAATTATCTTAACAATGTATATTAGTTTAATTAAAATTAAACTATTATAATTAAACTATAATTTAAGATTATACTAACAATCGTATCAATCTTATCAAATTAACATCAAATCAGAAATAATTCTCATCAATCCAGTATAATTGAGAGTGACTTAGCTAGATAGGGTGTCAAAGTTGATTGTCAGAAATGCCCTTTGACCACGATTTATGTAATCTATAAGATTTATGATTTGAACGAAATTTTTCTTTTTTCTTTTCTCATGGAGTGGTATATATATGTTGTAGAGATTATCACATCTCAAGTGATTCACCAACTCAATATCTTGTATTAGAAAATTGAAGCTTCCATCATGTCTTCTTTTCTCCTTGCTTCGGCTCCCAGTTGCAATTTCATCCCAAAAACATCAAATCATAGAAGATCTACCAATTACCATTCTTCGATTTGGAAAGATAGTTATATTCAGTCACTCGAGAGTGAATATCTGGTATGTGTATATGTTTGCATATATATACATTATATGATGTTTTATTGTAATACGTAATTAAAATATCAATATAATTGTGAAAATTAAAATTTGTGCATGCCACCGAGCTAACAGAACTGTTTTGCCATATAGGAGAAATCATGTTATGAACATGCAAACAAATTAGTAGGAGAAGTGAGAATGATGATTGATAAAGTGATAAGTCCTTTGGAGCAACTTGAGCTAGTCGATAGCTTGCAAAGACTTGGATTATCTTATCACTTTGAAAATGAAACGAAGACAATTTTGGATGGTATAAGTGCTTATCACACCAATGTTGCATGGAAGAAAGATAGCTTATATGCTACAGCAATTGAATTTAGGCTCCTAAGGCAGCACGGCTATAAAGTAACTCAAGGTAAAAAAAAACATGGCAATTTTGTCTAGAATAAAAATTCTTTAAAATTAAAATGTTGTGTTACATGCAGAGGTTTTCTCTAGTTTCACGGACGAGATGGGAAACTTTAAGGCAAGTCTTTGCG